TGTATGTCGATGACTCTAGCGTGACAGGTTTCTATTACCCTGTGTTGCCTAGTGTAGGTGTGCCCAGTGTGCCTAGTTCAGGCTCCCCTGATGCGTCATGCGTAGGATCCCTTGCCTTGTTTAGCCTTGGGTCCTCCCTCGCTCCTCCGACCTCTGTCGCCGCTGCCGCGCTCTCCTTCACCCTGGACTCCGGCGCTTCCCGATGTTTCTTTCGCGACTCCACTACACTTCCGCCGCTTGCCGCTCCCGCTGCAGTTGCCCTTGCAGACACTTCCTCCGGTCATGTAGTTGCCCGTAGCTCCACTACCCTCCCCTGTCCGTCGGTTCCCTCGGGCTCCCTTTCAGGCCTGCACATCCCCTCATTCTCTAGGAACCTAGTTGGTGTCGGCTGCCTCCAGGACCTTGGCGTCACCACTATGTTCCCTGGGCACGAGCAGTACGCTGTCTGTACTGAGGCCTCCACTGGTGCCCCCCTCACCACGTTCCCCCGGGACCCGGTGTCTGGCCTGTTCACGCTGGATACCGAGTCCCCCCCGTAGGGACGCCTCCCCAGGTAGTAGCGATTCCCAGGTTGCTGCAGCGTGCTCGTGTCAGTCGCTTACTTACCTGTCGCTTCTGTGGCACCACCGTCTCGGTCACCCCGCTCTCAACCGTCTCTGTCACATGTCCCAGCACCGTGTTTTACTAGGTCTCCCCGAGTCGTTCCCTGCGCTCCCCTCCTCACACGCGCCTCTGTGCACGCCATGGGTCGAGGGCTGGCTCCACCGTGCCCCTCACTCCTCCTCATTCCCCCCCACCTCCGCACCGCTGGAGACCCTGCACATGGACGTCTGGGGCCCCGCCCCCGTCCATGGGCCGCGTCGCGAGCGCTACTTCCTAGTGCTTGTCGATGACTATACACGCTACACCACCGTGTTTCCCCTGGAGTGGAAGGCCGACGTGCCTAACGTTCTTCTCCCGTGGCTTGTCTCTGCGCGTGTTCACCGAGGTCTCCCTGTGTTGCGTCTTCACTCCGACCGTGGTGGCGAGTTTGCCTCTGGCTGCCTTGGTCGCTTCTCTCGTGCGGACGGCATCACCCAGACGTTCACCCTGCCAGATTCCCCGCAGTAGAATGGGGTCGTTGAGCGACGCACTGGTTTGGTCATGGAGGTGGCTTGTAACTCAATGATCCATGCCAGTGCACCGCATTTTCTGTGGCCGTTCGCCGTTCGCACCTGTGGCCGCACCCTCAGCAACCGCAGGTTTTGCCGACCCTCCTCTGGACCGGGTCCCCTGGTGACGCGTCTGCATTCCACGTCTGGGGCTGCCTCGCTCACGTTAGTGCCTGTGGCACAGACAAACTCACTGCCCATACCGTCTCCTGTGCCTTCCTTGGTTTCCCCCTCGACTCGTCTGACAGGCAGTTCTACCACCCGCCTTCTAACCATTTCTTTCACTCTCGCGACATCACTTTTGACAAGTCCGTCTCCTTCTACCACCGCTTTCCCCACCGTGGTCCCCCGGTCACTCCCCCCCAGTTCTTGGTTCCCCCCCCTCCCCTGTCGCCACCGTTGCTGTCACAGCCGCAGCCGCCTCCGTCGCTGCCGCCGCAGCCGCAGCCGCAGCCGCCGTCGTCACCGCCGCTGGGGTTCGTGCGTTCTGGGGGTGCTAGGCAGCGGGCTGGAGCTGGTTCTGGAGCGGGCTCTGCGGGTGCTGGCGTGGGGCTTCTCGGAGGGAGCTGTGTTGTCGCTGGAGGTTCTGGTGTTGGAGTCGGGCAGCAGTCGCAGCAGTCGCCGCCGGTGTCCGCTCTTCGCCTCCTCGGTCTTCCTTCCCCTGACCACCTTCCGGTGCCTTCCCTGTCTCCGCCGCCTCCTCCTCTGCCAATCCACGGCCCCGTGTTTCCTCCCCCGGACTCCTCTCCAGCTCGTTTCCCTCCCCATTCTCCTCCTGTGTCTCCTCCGCTCTCTCCTGACCCGACTCCTCTGTCTCACGTCTGGTCTCGTCGTTTGTCTCGTGCTCGTCCTACCTCCCCTGTTTAGTGTTCTCACCCTATATTGCTTCACTTTCACGCGTCTTGTGCTCCTCCTCTCCTCCCGTCTCCTCCCCCGTCGTCACTTGCTGTGGCCCCCCCTCCATTCTCTGGCTTTCTCCGTCCTACGCGTCCGCTTGTTCCTCGTATCCTTGCCTCTCTCGTTACCGACCTGTCCGTTCCTGTCTCGAGTCTGTCGACTCTTGTCACTGCTGTCACAGACTTCACCGCAACCTGCCGTCTGGACTACGCCACCACTCTGGTCTCTGACCCTGCCTGCCCTCCGGCCGTTGGGGATGTGGCTGCTCTTGGCAGTGACGTCTTAGAGGACAGGCAATTCGAGCTCGCTTCCTTGTCTGAGGCCGCTCCCCATCTCTGTTCCATGCTACTAGTCCCTGAGGGTGACCCAGTCGCCCTTGACGTCCCGAACCCTCGCACCTACGCTGAGGCCACCTCGGGACCCTGGGCCTCTCAGTGGATAGCTGCCATGGACGCAGAGATTGCATCTTGGAGATTCACCGGTACCTTCGTCGACGCAGTTCCCCCACCTGGGGTGAACGTAGTCGATGGCCGGTGGCTCTTCAAGATGAAGCACCCTCTTGGAGAGCCGCCTGTCTTCAAGGCGTGCTACGTTGCTCGAGGTTTCAGTCAGCGTGAGGGGGTGGACTTCTTTCAGACCTTCGCCCCGACCCCGAAGATGACCACTCTTCGGGCACTACTATACGTAGTAACACAGCGCGACTACGAGCTGCACTCCCTCGACTTCTCGGAACGTATAGGAGCTACGGAAACTCCGCAGAATTCGCATGGCATCACCTCAAGTGCCTCTATCAAGCAAATGACAGCATGACACAAAGCAGACTCATGCAGCAGCTGACAACAATACAGATGAAGACCGGGGAAAAAGCGATGCAGTATATGAGTCGATGCCAGACACTCCGCGACTGCCTGCTTCGGTGCGGAGGAACAATCACTAAAGAAAGCTTCGTAATGCTTGTCCTCGCCGGACTCGGGCCAGAATGGAGAACCACCGGCTCGCTCCTTCGCGCCCACGGACGAATCTCGGAGATGCACCTCTGCGCCGAGCTCCATGCTGAACAACAGGAGATGGACCTATTCGAAGAAATGCAACCAAGGAAATAGCAACCATTAGTTTTCTACCCTCAACGAAGGAACGACAACAACTACAACCGACGCGGCAAACAAGATCAACGCGACAACAGAGGACTCACCATTGTGCCACCGTTCTGCCACAACTGCCAAACATCCGGACACTCCAAAGTCCACTGCACACGTCCCCGAACTTATCGTCCAGTAGACCCACAAGTCGCTTCCATTCAAGAAAGTCCGCCGAGGCGCTCTTCCACATCTGCACAAAATACACCGAATATCATCAACTTCATGGTACACATCGACAACTGCGCACCCGGATCACCGCCAACTTACGCTCCCGATGAAGAAGAACTGTCGCCGCCGCGCTCACAGGGACTTCAGGTCAACCCAACGTACGTTGCAGTCGCCAACTCCGAACCCACCGGACGCAACACTTGGTTCTTGGACAGCTGTTGCGGCCAACACATGTGTTCTTCCGGGAGTTTCGTGCAACGAGAACTACGTCTCAACAGAGACGTCATCATCACCGTCGCCAACAACAAGAACCTGAAGACAAACAGACAAGGAGTGGTTCAGTTACAATCCATGGAGACAAACGTTATACTGCATCTCAACAAGGTCCTCATCGTCAACAACTTGGGATACAACTTACTAAGCGTCAACCAGTTAATGGCAAAAGGAATTCACCTGGAGTGCGACTCGGACTCCAACGAATTTCGCCTATACCACGGGAAGGGCGGTCTCTTCATCGGTCGCGCTCTACTTAAGTCCGGCATCTTCGTGTTGGACTTCGTCCCCGACCGCGGTACCGCCGATAGCGATGGCATCGTGTCATTCGCCGCATGGACACACCCACCGGACCTTGACCCCGACTTCAACCAAGATGGATACTGGTACTCCAACACCATACCTGCAGCAGAGAGAACACGGGCGTTAGCAGTCATTCGACAAGAAAGACAAGTACCGGCAAGCGTCTCTTCATCGACATCACCTGAAATCACAGCAGCAGGACCCAGCAGAGTATCACTACCAGCAATCCGAGGACCGCCAACCGAAGCAGATCAACTCATGCCCACCACACGCGAAGTCTGCCGAAGTCCCGCCACCGTCGTCGCGTTCTTCTCCAACACCGACATGTATCACCGATCGCCCGGCCATCGAGCTCCCGACGACATCTGGCATCAACGCCTTGGGCATCTTGCAAACAGCACAGTACTACAAACCATCCAAGCCGAAGTGTTAGAACGAAACGCTCTCCTTACAACAAGCGGACAGGAACTTCGACGACCTCGCGCACGGTGCTTCACATGCCCCGAAGCAGATCTTCAACACCAAACTTTTTTGTTACATCACAATCCAAGCGCACCTGCATACGCACCGATGGAAAAGGTTTACAGCGATATCTTAAACATGCCTCGAGACGACACTGAAGCCGACTTCAACTATGTCATCACGTTCATCGATGCAGCAACAAGATATGTATGGCACTACAACCTCAAGACGCGCGATCAAGCTTTCGAAGCCTTCACGACGTGGCTCCCCATCGCTGAACGAAGCTCAAGAGCTTCCAGTCAGACGGCGCACTCGAATACCAGTCACAACGCTTCAGGACCTACTTGGCAGAAAGAGGAATCAGACGCTTGGTGTCCCTGCCCTACGCTCACCAGCAGCAGGGGATCGCAGAACGAATGAACCGGACCTTGCAGACGACGATGCGAAAGCTGCTCCTGGGGATGAGACTGCCCAACACACTGTGGCCAGACGCGATGACACATGCAGTCCACCTGCACAATCTGTTGTCATCGTCATCGCTTCCCAACAACGCATCACCGCACCTGCTGTGGACACGAAAAAGGGGCAGCACAAAATTACTTCGAGTTTTCGGCTGCATGGTACAGTACAGACCCCACACAGCCCGAGCAAGTTGGGCCTGGGTTCATCATTGCTGCAAAGAGCACTTCTCTATTTCCTACGCGAAAGTTCATTTCCTGGCTAGTTGTAAGCTACTAACAGACGCCTAGCTACCTATTTCCGCTAGTTGACCCCCTGTTTTTTCCACCTTAGAGATTAGGAACAGTGAGGAGAATGTGACGCAATGAGATAGGGAGAGAGTAGCGCGGCGGGAGGGAAAGTGAGATAGTTACGCGGCGGGAGAGAGAGAGAGCAGCGCGATGGTAGAGAGAGCAGTGCAGCGAGATGGGAGAGAGATAGAGTAGCACGGCGGGAGAGAGAGAGAGAGAGAGAGAGAGAGAGAGAGAGAGAGAGAGAGAGAGAGAGAGAGAGAGAGAGAGAGAGAGAGAGAGAGAGTTGCGCGATGGGAGAGAGAGAGAGTAGCGCGATGGGAGAGAGAGAGAGTAGCGGGATGAGAGAGAGAGAGAGAGAGAGTAGCGAGATGGGAGAGAGACGGAGTAGCGCGGCAGGAGAGATAGAAAAGCGCAGCTGGATAGAGTGTGTAGCGCCGCGGGAGATTGTAGTGCGGCGCGACAAGAAAGAGAGCGAGGTGGAAAGCGGATGAGAGTTGCGCTGCGAAAGAGAAGGTGGCGCATGGCAAAAATCTTGCTCCTTTCGACTTGCACTCACCCTCTCCCCATCTCTCCTCACCCCTCCCTTCATTTATCCGCCTCTTCCTCTCTCTCTCCGCGCCTCTTCCTCTCTCTCTCCGCGCCTCTTCCTCTCTATCTCCGCCCCTCTCCTTCGATTTTGCCCGGGCTTTCCTTCTCGCGCTCCCATTTTGAACTCCTCTTCCTCACTGTATTTCTCCCGCTCTCCGCACCTCTCACTGCGAGTCTCTCTCTGTGTCGTGGTTTTGGTATTTTGCACTCTGTATTTCACTCGCGACGTTTTATTTTGCTGGTACTTTGAAGTGACATTTTAGGGGGAGATGTGTTCCTTAGGCTCTCAAAATCAAGGTCCTCAGCTCATCTTTCCTAGGGTAGCGGGATGGCTTGTGATTTATGACAATTGTGCAAAATGTTCATTCGTAATTTTGTCGCCAACTATCGCACAAATACAAACTGGCTGTCTCGCAAGTTTCCAACCAACACACTCTTGAGCCAACCTATTTCGAGTTGGGTCCAATTTGAAAAGGGGGTCACAATTCTAGCCTCTTACTTTAAGCATTTTTGTAAGCTCTTCCAATAGATATTATCGAGCTATAATGTAGTTAGCAACCGTAGAATGAAATCAGCAAATAGCGCTCGTCTGGATGATTACGACAGCAGGCCGTTTCAGTCACGCGAACAGTCGCATCCCTTTACAGTAGTGATTAGAGCGTATAGCGCAAATAGTTTTGAACAGGTACTTCTAGCATATATACAAGTAGCTTGTCTCTCTTCTATTGTTAACTTGTTCCTCAGTAAATTCTGGTCAACACTTACAAGTACTTATTTCTACTTCAAGTACTTGTGTGTGCATCTTCTATACTTAGTCTTCTGCACCGTTTTACAAATTCTCACATGGTATGAGAGCTGTCTAGCATTAAGACTATCGTCTACTCTACAAATGATTGGACCATCATCAGCTCCAACAGCTGGTTCCTCAAAAACTGGACCCACGGGTGTTACAAATCCTACTGTTTTTACAGGCCAAGCAGGAGATTTTGCAGCTGGAAAATTTCCACCTGCATATGCTTCAATTGGGATGCCTCAACAGCAGCAAGGGTTGCCTACTGTGCATCCACTAGGGACTTTGTCATCTGCACCTACAATACGACAACATGCATCACAGCAACAAGCACCATCGCAACAAACAGCAGCGTCACTAACAACAGATTTTAATGGTATGAGTCTTGATGGCTCCAGTTATGCAAGAGCTGCAGCTGCTCCAAGCTCCTGTTCTTCGTTTGCGTTTACTGCACAGCAGCAACAGCTCCAATTCCTGCAACAACAACAACAAGCGCAACAACAATTTCAAGCGCAACAGCAACAGCCACAACAATTTCCACAGCAATCTCGACACCAGCCATAGCAACACCAGTTTCCGCAGCAATAGATTGCCTTTACTGGACCTGTTTTCCAGGATCCAAATCTTTTAAACAATACACAGATCAAGACAACAATACCTTTTAATGGAGCTGACTTCTACTCCTGGAGTTTCGAGTTCGAGCTCCTCGCGAAATCCGCTGGATTGTGGCCTTTCTTTAGCGGCGATTATTCGTATCCTGTCAGGGGGACATAGATGGAGCAGCAGAGTTTTCTTCATGCTTCACTCAGCGCTTATGCAGTTCTTATCCGAAATCTGTCGCTAAAAGAGCAGCTCGGGATACGCTCTCTTCACACTAGCCTGACTCCAGCTGAATCTGTATAGAAGCATTTAAAGGGGCTGTATATGGCACAGGATACCATTTCCGTGAGTAAGATTCTCTCACAACTGACAACTGTGCAGATAGGGCTCGCACACTTCGCGACCAACTAGAAGAATGCGGCGGATACTTCCCAAAGGACATGTTTGTAACAGTTCTTCTTGCCGGCCTTGGACCATAATTGTGACAATGTCGATCTCTTCTTCGCATTCAACCAAATCTTTTTGAAGCTGAAACTTGTTCGATTCTTCAAGCAAAGCAGCAAGACCTTGATCTGCAAGTAGCATGTAAGAAAAAGGGGGTAGTTCATGTCAGTTTCTATTTAACACCTGCAAAACGCATCAACAAGTTTTTCTGCCACTACTGCCAAAAGGTAAGACACATAATTAAATATTGCAACAAGCTTCAAGCTGATAAGAAAGGAGGACTGCAGCAGCCGTCACAGCAGTCTAAGCAACCTGTGAAGCAGAATCCACCAACAACAACTCTTGAAACATTAGGAAAACAAGTTTTCAGTTGTGTTGCTACAATTCATGCAACTGATTCAAATTTCGACGACAATGAAGAAACCAGCTCAATTGAACAACCTTCTCATATGGTCTTACCTCAGGTTTACGCTAATCTCGCTTGGATTATTGCAGGACCAAACACTTGGTATCTTGACAGTTGTTGTGGTCAACACATGTTCTCTGCCGAGACGCTTTTAATTACTCATCAATGTCCTCTTCGACGCCTGTACCTGTCACACTCGGAAACGGACAAACCATTATGGCACGATCGATCGGCAGCATCATGCTAGAATCTAATGACGTTGGTTTTTCCTTACACATTACGAACGTCCTCATCGTCGCCGGACTTGGCTTCAATCTTCTTTCAACAGCTCAACTCCTACGACATAAGATCAGGACACAAGGAAATTGTGAGACTATGGACTAGGAACTATATCACAACAGGACAAATACTTACATCAGGAGAGCCGCCACCCAATATGGCGTTTGTGTTCTTCAATTTGTAGCCCAAGGAACTTCTGGTGATTCCGAAAGAGTGATTTCTCTTGGACCTTGGCAACATCTTGAAGAAACTGATTATCAAAGGGTAGACGTGGACTTTCGTTCAACTGCAGTTCCAATAACCTCTCGTACAGCCGCTGCAGTTATCACAGCTCTATGCCAACAAACACAGCCAAAGAAGATACATCAACGTGGCAGAACTATTATACTACTCTAGCACAACTCACCAACAAACCTGAAGTACCTTGGGGGCCAAACAGCAGTAGCAGTGAAGCAGAAGCAGCAAAGTAGCAGCGAAGCAAAAACAAGGGTTCTCATCGGTCAACCTGCAGCAGATACAACAGAAACAGATATCGAAGAAGGAGAATTAATTTTGGAACCAGAAGAAATTCTTGACATGGAAGTTACCTCTTTCTCGCTTCGTTCCTGGACAACTCGAAAAATCTCTTGCGCTTTCTCCTTTCATCATTTGTTCTTTTTACTCTAGTCTGAACTGGCTATCGGTGTGACACCTGACGAAATTTGGGGGGAGAAGGGGTCAGAAAACAATTTCTCCAGTGTCAACTCAAATCGTCCTCGTTTTACAGAAATTAGGTTACAAATATTGGGACTCGCAGTCGTAGTACAGTCGAACAACAGTAAGATTTTGGAGCCCAAAATAGTTCACCACCAAGGAATGAGACTCCTTTTTTCGGTAGGTCACTCTTCCAATGGGTCACTAGACTACCCTCAGCTCTGATACTACCATGTTAAAGTGTTCTAAGAGACTAATTGATCCTTAGAACCTTCTCTTAGAGTCTAGGATACTTAGGAACCAAAACAGGCATCCACACTTAGGAGACACATTCAGTAAATAAGAAGTGAGCGCCAACCAAGTCACAACCAGACCTAAAGGTGCTAGGAGGCTCCCCTCTAGAAGCATTCCCAACCCATCCAACCAAAGTACTCTACAGTACCCATTCTGTAATTTAACATCTATATGTACCGTATGTTTATTGGAGCAACCTAAATACTCCCACAATTCCAACACCCCCTCTTGCTCCAATAAGCATCAGACCCATGTTCCATTCAAAAGATAACACCTCCTGTAAGGGATTCCTTGGCCACTTCAGTCTTCACCCTCATGCCGATGCACTCACAATCAGCATTTAGCTTCAAGCCTGGAAGAGCTTTGGTGAGCATATCGACATCTTAGAGGTGAGAGTGCACTGACTGCACCACAACCTCCTGCTGGACAACTCATCATTCGGACGACACAATCAAGCGCCTACCTTTGCGCCTTATCACTCTTCACCGGGGACGTTCGAGTTCATGCCGCCCCATGCCCAACCAACAGCAGCTGCATCACAACAGACACCAAACGAGATATTAAGCCTCCAGGCACAGTTTTCACACGTGATCAAACTGCAGACATTCTCACCGTTCAACGGACACGACTTTTTTACCTGGAGCTTCGAGTTCGAGCTGCTCATAGAGGCCGCGCATCTCTTGGGATACTTCAACGGGTCCCTGCCATTTCCAAGCAATGGCACTGCAAAGGAGCAGGAAATCTTCACTTATCAGTCGCTGCTGGCGTACACAGTTCTCCTGCGGAACCTGTCACCACAAGAACAACAAAGCATCAAAACGTATCGGAGCTACGGAAACTCCGCGGAGCTCGCATGGCATCACCTCAAATGTCTCTACCAAGCAAATGACAGCGTGACACAAAGCAGACTCATGCAGCAGTTGACAACAATAGAAATGAAAAACGGGCAAAAGGCGATGCACTATATGAGTCGCTGCCAGACACTCCGTGACCGCCTGCTTCGGTGCGGAGGTACAATCACTGAAGAAAGCTTCGTGACACTAGTCCTCGCCGGGCTTGGGCCAGAATGGAGAACCACCCGCTTGCTTCTTCGCGCCCACGGACGAATTTCGGAGATGCACCTCTGCGCCGAGCATCATGCTGAACAACAAGAGATGGACCTGTTTGAAGAAAGACAACCAAGAAACAAGCAGCAACCGTTTGTCTTCTATACTCAACGAAGAAACGACAGCTACAATTGACGTGACAAGCAGAATCGACACGACACCAAAGGACTCACCATCGTACCGCCGTTCAACCACAAATGCCAAACATCCAGACACTCCAAGGTTAACTGCACACGCCCCCGAGTTCATCGTCTAGTAGACCCACAAGTCGCTTCCACCCAAGAAAGTCCACCAAGGCGTTCCTCCACATCTGC